TTTAGGAATGATATTTAAGGAGGTAATATCCTATGCTGAGATCAAAACATGGAGTTGCAATTGGCTTTTTAAAAAATTACAAAATAATGCATCTCGAAGGCTTTGAAAAGCTTTTTTTTGTGATTTTAAAAATAAATCCCTTGTATTTGCAATCACACTCAGTAGTATTGTGCTCAGTGCTTCAGAATTGTGAAGTGTAATCAACAATTAACTACATCAGAATAGTTTCATTATCCACACTAAAAAGGTAGAAAATAGTGGGGCAGTATAAATATGTTCTTATTGACTGAGGGGTTTTTATTTTAAATTTTAAATGATCTTTAACAAACTGAGTGTTTGTTATCTCTAACAAAATTTAAAATTATCTTTAACAAACTCTTCTTCGGGCAGCAACTTTAAAAATATGGTAAAACTAAAAAAAATGGTAAAATTAAAAAATTGTAAGTAATATTTTATTCTTATGTGTACGGATGTGTATATCAGTTATGAATACTGAAGTCATCTGCTCCTATCTTTCAATTATACTGAAAACTTTTCAGCAGGTTTGCATAGTGGTTTTAATCCCTGTGAACCTAATGGACAAGGTTTCTATAGTCTCATGGGTTTCATACTTGGATCCATAGCTGACCACTTTGTTGTAGCTCCGTGTGTGACAAGATATGAAAATTATTAAATTAGCTACTTTGCTATATTTGGGAATAACATGCAAGTAGTCATAAATTTCAGGTTACGACCAATGCACCCTTCTTAGTTAATGGCGGTGGCAAGAACATAAATCTGCCCCAAACTTGTCAGCTTGGTTGAGGTAGGTGAAGGGGTACTGGAGGCTGCTAAGAGCATCTGAGATGCTGAAATACTTGACATTTGAGGTGTCTGAAAGTTAAGTAGGAGGGGCTGAGTTGTAGCATTGTCCTGTGTGTGTACAGTGTACAAAAGCTGTGTACTTGCATGGGTGCTATTTGTAGTCTGTTGAATCTTGGGTCTATAGTCCCAAGTTGCATGCTGTGATCTTGTGAGGGAGGTTTGGGTCAGTACTGCTCCCCCTCTATCTCCGTTGCTTCCCTACTCCATCCAATGTGAGGAGCAATGATAAGAGAGAGGCAGCCTGCCAAGTAGATCCTCACATTGGGACTTAGGCTAAGTACAGACAGTCAAAAAGCTTGAGGCTGAATTGATTCAGTCTTTGCAGGTTAGTTTAAGATGCAACGATTGAACCAATAAGCAAATGAACAAACATTCACTTCTGATTCAGGAAAATGCAGCCACCTGCCTGCAATGGCTCAAGCCAGAAGCTGGGGGGCTCTAGAGCATGGCTCTCTGGCATGTAGCCAGCATGAGCTGTGTGTTCATTTCCTCTTCTTGCTGTCCCTGAGGTCTCTGGGATTTGCAGTCCACAGACACAGCAGCAGAGCTCTGCAGGGCTGCTTATCAGGTACTCTGGGATTTGTAGTCCCCAGTTGCAGCCAGCAATAAGTAAGTCAGCAGGGTAGGGCAGCTCTGTACTTGGGGGAAGGGGCGTTTAACCCCCTCCTTGGCCCTAAACCTCAGCCAGGGTTTGCCGGGGGTGGGGGAGGGGACGACAGTGAGCCAGCCCTCACTGCTCCAGCTAGGGAGTAGAGCACTGGGGCCAGCCCTGTTTTCTGGAGTAGACAGCACAGCCCAGCCCAGGGGTGCAGAGCATGCTGGGATGCTAAGAGACTCTGATTTAACTTGAACCAGGGAGAGAAAACCAGAAGTTTCATAAACCGATTTGACCTAAGTCAGTTAAGTCTGATACTACATTCAACCAGGTCGATCTTAAACCAGTTTCAGCCATTTTGAAATTGGTTTATGTGTACTGAAGTCATGTTCTGTTACAGGTTTAAACAAGTTTATGATCACTTAAACCAGTTTATGTGTAACTTCTGTCCCTAGCCTTAATAGCTAAGAGGGCTAGGGACAGATATTACATGTAAAACCCATTTAAGTGATCAGAAACTGGTTTAAACCTGTAACAGAACAGATGTTCAGTGCACATAAACCAGTTTGACAAAAACCTGGTTGAATGTAACATCAGACTTAACTGATTTGGGTCAAACCGGTTTATGCAATGTCTGTCTCAGACCCCTTCCTGGGTTAAGTTAAATCAGAGTCCTCCAGCATCCCAGCTACTTTGTAACTCTTGGCAGGGCTCTGATCTCTGCTCCCTGGTTGCAGCTTTGGCAGAGATTGCAGATACAGCAAGGTCTGCCTAGCTGTCTCCCACTCCACGCCCCCCTCACCACTCCCTACTCCCCTCTGCCATACACAGACACCTCTCAGCATTAGCTAACATAACACATGCTGGCTACAGTCTGTGCTGTGGAAGACAAGACAAAGGCAGACAGGACAGTGTGAGCTTAGGGCTCTTTGGAGCTAATCAATAGGCCAGCTGGTAATGTCCCTCCATTCCTTCCTTGGAAAAAGTTGTTTAAGAAGAGCTTGAACTAATGAGAGAGGCTGTTGTTTTGCTGATGGGGTGATAAATGCTAACAATTCCCTGTGTAATTCCCTGCTGTGTAACTCAATCCTCTGTTATCAACAGTTGGTGGGGGAGGGGTTTGTCCCCTCCCTAATCAGAGCATCCTGCTGGGGCCTGGCCACGACCTCCTTCCCCCACCCAGCATAGCATTGTGGAAGGGAAGGGAGGTCTGCTCTAGCACCCCCCCAGCTGCTAACCTGAGCCACTGCAGACGTATGCCTGCATTTCTTCAGTTCAGAGGGGATGTCTTTACTGTTATAAACTGGTTTTGCCTAGCCAGGTTCGACTAACTTGCAAAGATTGAATCAGTTCAGGCTCAGGCTTTTTGAATGTGTGTCCCTAGCTGAAGAGAAACAACAAACCCTGCTGTGCAATTCATCTTGATGTCTAATGATTCTGTTTGACTGTAAGGATGTGTTACAGGGCTGTCAGATGTCTAAGTGCCACATGAGATGCTCAAAATTTAACAGCCCTGTAGTTTTTTTGGATTTGGAGAACTGAGTTGGCATAGCTAAGCAATATAAATAATGGAAGATAAACCAGATATTGTTGAAAACAGATATACAGATTATTTTTTTCATTGGCTAATGGAATTATCTCTTCAGGATAAATCTTAAATCATATAGTGAGTCGAACAATTAAACTCTGCATTAAATACAGTGTGTTTTTGAGGCGCTGAAGCAGGAAAGTGACTACTTGATAGACCAGCATCTAATGGTATACAGACTAGCCATATCTGTGCGTTACTTACAGTTTGGCGTAGATATCATGGTAAGCAAGTTGTGAACAGTCTCCATCAGATCATGCTGCTGTTTTTGCAGAACTGAATTGTTTACTGTGGCTGTGACTAACTGCTTTTCTAGTTCCTCTATTATAGAATTTTGTCTTGATACCAGTGCTTGAAGTTGATTTTTTTCTTCTTTTATTGACTGTAGCTGAAGTGTGTGCTTGTCTTCCATCTCAAGAACTTTTTTTTCTAGAAGGCTAATAAAAATAAATATAGTTAGGGTCTCAACAATGTATTTCTATGTTTATAGCTGACAAAAAAAAGAGTACTGAGCCTGTTGCAAAAGTTTTGTCCATCTTTATAAAAAAAGTTTTATTTTGATTTCTTCTGAAGATAATCTGCAGAGGAAGTTATACATGTGGTATGTAGAATGCTGTGAGTTGCACTTAATTCAGTGTTCGTTGAACATTAATATGTATTAAATGTTTTTAAAGGATGAACAATGTTGGATCTTTTTCTGTTAGAAAAGAAGTAACACTTCTAGTATTTAGCTGAATTCTTCCATGTTTTAGTAAAGATATGGTGGTCTCTGATCTGGTAACTGTGGTAGAAAAATATAGTGACATTTTAAAATTCAGTATTATTTTGCTTCCATGCTTATTTGTATTAAGATGGTAGATACAACCGTCAGGGAGTACACACAAATATAGCAGGGCAACAGATACAAATGTCAAAACATCTTAAATTTTTTTGAGCTAATGTTCTTTAAAAATTAAAAGTACTATACACGTATGGTTCTCATTAAAAAAAAGATGTCTTCGATGTAAGAGAAAACTCTCTGTTATTGCTACTTTTAGATTCCTCTGTAAATTATTTACTATTACAAGTAAAATAGAACCCTGAGGTTTGACACTTATGTTTTATTCATGTTGGGAAATAATTTGTTCTGCCTTATAATGCCCCTTCAGGATGATTCCTTTAACAATGTAGGGATTTAAACTGGTTAAATAAAAATATACCACCTTTGCTGCATAGCAAGTAGGTATGGATACAGGAAGAATAATGGGTGATTTTACTCCTAGCTCTCAGAAAATTGAAATTGTGGGAACTTGGGACGTGAATAAGATCAGTCTGATGGACTAGATATGACAGAATAAGCTATTTCCATGATCTGATCATCAAAAAGCTATCCTATTACACAATAAAGTAGCAATTGTGAGCCTAAGATAATTTTGTATTTTAGTTACAAAGAAACAAATTTCCATTGGAATAGGTTAGATAGCAGATAGTCCTATATTTCAACATCCAGTGGATAGATCTGGAATAGAATCTCTATCCTGACTGCAGTCAACATTTCCAAAAGTAATTCTGTTTTTAAATGCAATCTGAATAAAGTCTTAGGTGTCTAAACTCCACTCATTTGAGTCCATAACTGAGATCCTGAAAATCACTGTTTGCCTGCTGCCTAGGGCTGTGCAAAACGACTATGTTTCGTTTCGGTTTTGGATTTGGCATTTCAGAGGGACAGTGATTCATTTCAGTGTTTTGGATCACTGTCCCATTTCAATTTGGCCGAATCTGTTTCGGAGTCTTGATGCTGTTTCGGCCATAGGCTATAATGGGGAATCACTAAAATGCCTATAACTTTGTAATTTCTTTCCTGATTCGAATGAAAATTGCAGGGATGGTAGCCCCTTATGGGGGCACAAAGCCCACCAAGTTTCAAGGAGAGAGGTGCAGGAGTTTTTGTGAAATTGCACCTCAAACTGTTTAGAGCAAAACTAGTATCACTTGCTGGCAGCAGCAGCATACTGTCATCCCTCACGCATATCTGGGAGCTGCGCCTCCGGGAGGAGTCTGACACAGCCCTGCAGCCCTCCCAGGGGGTGCAGACCACTGAATCTGCATGCAGGATGATAGCAGGCTGCCACTGCCAGCTGGGGCCAGTGCCAGCACTAGGTTCTTCCTGGTGCTCAGCGCAGGCTGCGCCAGGGAGACTCAGGTGCTGGCGCTGGCCCCAGCCAGCAGCAGCAGCATGCTGTCATCTGCATGCTCTGCAGCTGGTGAGTGCAGAGCTTTTAAAAAAAAAAGAAATCCACACACTCAACGGCTCTGGCAGCAGTGATTAGGGCCTCTGAGGGCTCGTGGCAGAGCTCCCTCTCTCAGTGCAGGGCAGCGGAGATTTCTTCCCCCGCCTGGCACCCGCAGGGCAGCAGCACCACTGCATGGGTACAGCGCGGCTTGACAGGGCACAGCACACTGTCCCGGAGCTGGGGCAGATCCACCTGTCAGCCTCAGCTCCTGGTTCGATTCCCCAGCTCTCTGATCTTTCCTCCAGCTCTTCCCGGGGGGGCGTGGCCCCCGGATCTGTGCTTGGGGTTTCAGCAGGCTGCTGCTGCCAACTGCAGAAATAGCCCATTGCTGCCGCCATGCCCCACTGGCAGTGGAAGCCTGCCATCATCCCATATCATCTGGTTGGCCTGCGCTCCTTGGGAAGAGCTGGGTGAAGCAATCGGGGAGCTGGGGAATTGAAGTAGGATTCCCCCAACTCCTGGGTCGATTCCCCAGCTTCCTGTTCGATTCCCGAGCTCAATTCCCCAGCCTCCAGTTCAAATTCCCCAGCTTTCTGATCATTCCCTCAGCTCTTCCTGGGGGGCGCAGACCCCCGGATCTGCACACCGGGTTTTAGCAGGCTGCCGCTGCAGGCTGGGGCCAGTGGCAGCACCACAGTCTTCCCAGCGCTCGGTGTGGGCTGCACCACGTGTCTGCCACTGTCCGCAGGCTGCAGCAGCAGCCTGCTGAAACCCTGTACTCAGATCAGGGGGCCATGCCACCTGGGAAGAGCTCGGGAAATGATCAGAGACCTGGGGGAAGCATCAGAGAGCTGGGGAATCAAACCAGGAGCTACATCTCAATATCAGAGCAGTCTTTTCCTGCTCTTTCCCCTCCCTCTTCTTAGTTTTTGTTTCCCTGCAAGACCGACTCCAAAACTCTGAAATTCTTAGGAATGTTTCCAAAATGTTTCAGAGCCTTCTGATTCATTTTGGAGCTGTTTTGGAGGCTTCCATTTCAATTTGGATTCAGTGTTTCAGGTGCCAAAATGGCCCAAAACACCTCCAAAATGAAATGGCGACCTAAATTTCATGCAGCCCTACTGCTACCTAGCCTTAGAGATGCCTAAACTTCAGCGCACATGAGTGTTTTATTTGAAAGTTCTGTTTCTACGGGTGCTCATTAGTAGTCTTGACAGGGCTGACTAGATCAGTTCCAGCCTCATTCCAAAGTCCAATCAGTTTTCAAAACCTAGGTGTTTCTCTACCAGTCTCCCCTGAAAATGTCAATCTAGTAGGCATTGCCAGATCAGAGTCCATGAAAAATGTTCTAGGACCTCCACTTTCTTTTAAAACATGGCCACAAAAGGAAGTTGAGGAAGCAAGTGGTTAGAGCACTTGCACAGGATATGCAAAACCCGGGTTCAGCCCCCTCCTCGAAGAGGATTCAAGCCAGCGTCTCCCTGGTGAGTTTCTTACTCACCAAGTTATTGGCTGTTTTGGGGAGAGCAAGAAGGAACAAAACTTTTTACCTTCACAAATAGGGCACTCACAGAGGAAGAGTCTCTGCTTCAAGGTCATTTTCTGCATATTATGTGAAACAGTTGTTGAAAAAAGGTATAAGCCATCATTAGAGAAGGCAGAGAAGTTGAGGTAAGCAAGGTGACTGAACTCCAGAGACAGGTAGGATTTTAAGACACACATCCTGTCTTCAGCATTTCCTTATGGATAACTCTAGACAGGTCTCTGTTCAGAATGCAGACCTTAAAGCTGGCCCCGTTCAGCCTGCAATATGCTTAGGATCCAGTTCTGTATTGCGTAAGTCTTTCTGTGGCAATGTACCTAACACATTTAGCATTTCAGTCTAGGAGCCACATTTCTGTAAGGTAAATTTTGAAACACTGAGTGTTGCAGTGCCTGAATTCCATTTTAGATCTAGCCTTTAAGAGCCTACATCTCATTAAAAACTAGTTCGGCTTGGACTCCTAAGTGGCAAGTTATTTTTGACAATTCAATGTGGGTTGCTAAATAGCATGTTTTTTGAAAAAAATGTCCTTAAGGCAACAAGAAATGCACAGCAAAAGCTTTGTTATCCGGCACCCATGGGGAATGGGGGGTGCCAGATAACAAAATATGCCGGTTAATTGAGAGGCCTGAACAAGCACTTTGCCTGTTCGGACCGCCATTTCTCCTGCCATATCCAGGGCGTTGCAACCCTCCCGCTGCATTGCCAACCCTCCCGCGGGCCCCACGCAGCCTGCTATGCCCCAGATCATGGGGGCTTAGCAGTGCAGACTGCTTTGCCCCAGGTCGTGGGGGCTCAGCGAGATCGGAAGTGCCACGGTGGGCACTTCTGGTTTCACTTTTACCTTACAAGCCGACATGCCAGATAATAGAGCATGCCGGCTTGTAAGGTTTCAGTTAAGGCAGCTTTTACAACATCCCAACATCTACCTTCATGCTCCCAACATCCACCTTCATGTGACAGTATCACATGGAACTGCCTAAGACAGTTTACACCAACATGTGGTTCACCTGTCTGGTCTTTTTAAGTGTGGATGTTATACTTGGCTGTAAGCCTCATACAGTAAGGCAGTCAGTCAAGCTTTTATTCCAGAGCCTTGTCATTAGTTCAGAGATGACTGGCCACTTGGGGCATAGGATCCACCTGAATGACAGGGGCTGCATGCTAACAACGGCTGCCCTCCTTGTATCTTGCTAAATTATATTAAATAAAGTTGTGTCCTCTTTATCCAAACAAGTGTTCCAGCCTGTTTTTAAACTGCAAGCTGCTGTGTCTTAATAACTAGTGTAACAATCAAGAAAAAAAATTGATCATGTGTATTCACAAAGGGAACTACCGTGAAATGGTAGTTGTCCTGTTTTCCCTGAAATGCAACATTTTGCTGCAAAAACAATGACATTAGATACATTACTGACCTCATTTTGAGGGTTTTTTTCCAGATAACATTCAGAGAGATGGAGCAGAGGGAAATGGGGGGGGGACATTGGCTCTGTGTGATAATACTTTTATTTTAGTCCCAGTAATGCATTTATCTTCATCCTAAAACAGACCTCTGAACTTTGGCACATTTATGATTTCATGAAAACAGATGGTATTTCCTTTATTGATCACAGGGGAAAACTAATAATTTCCTATTTAAAAACGGTTGGGCAGTATGCAGAGCAGAAATCCCCCATTGAAATAAATCATTTGCCCAAAATTAAGATTTCATTAAATTTTTGGTTAATTCTAATACTCTGACATATGGAAGTAAAGCAAAAGTGAGGAATTGGATTTACACAATACATTTACATTCTGAGGAACAATAATTCATTAATGAAACCGATCATTCATAATATAATCAGATTTACTAAATCTGTTGTTAGGACATAATAGAATTTCTACTTCTACATATGCGGGTCTTCACTTTTTTCTTTTGATAAAGTTTTGCAGTTTTAGGGAGAGGGGGACAAAGAGAGTTAATTTAATTGGGCAAGGCCAATAGTTGGCTACAACTAATTACCTGATACTGCCAAGTATTGTTATTTTTATATTGTAAATCATTGGTTTCTGAATGCTATGATAAGTATGATCACAGGCCAATGGAAATCTGCAAGAAATGTAAAGCTTGACAGCGATCCATTGGTCATAAAGTCTGGGAATTATTGTTTTAGACGTTACATATGGTTCCAATTTTATTTTTGTTTGTTTTTCTCAGCTATATTGTCATTCTAGCTTTTTATGTTTATAAAATACAGGAGTGTAGCTTATTTCTTCATTAAGTAAGGACTTCTCAAATTGGTTGAAACAATTGTTTTCCCACAAGCAAATGCCTAAAACTGTTTAAAAAAAAGACAATTTAGCAGAGTAATCTTTGGATAGGTATAGGTAATAAATATTACCTGTTTTTTTCTTGCAATTTGGTTATCTCATTGGTCTGATCTGAAATCTGCCTTTCTAACTTGTTTGTTGAGAGAGAATGTTCCAGAAGCTGAAGTTCAAGTCTTGTTGTCTGGTTTAACACCTACATTAAAAAAAAACAACAACAAACATATAGGCATCTCTGAAAATGGTAAAGTCTAATTTAACTGTACTTTTTAAAGTCAGTGGTTATCACATATAGAAAATAAAATATTTGAAAAAAATATGAACAAACATGCATGCATACAGTACCAATTTGGGCATGAATGCATATAGAATTATTGTAAAAAATGCTCAGAATTATATTTGTATAGTGAACAAATAAACCTATAATACTGTGATTTATATTTCAAGTTATCTTGGGCAATGTTTTAATGGCAAACCACATTTGTGAATAATGTTCAAAATTACTGTGTCTTTAAGCTGTTGTCACAGATTTTTTCCCTTTATGGTAATTAGATAACAACATCAGTATGAGAAATGATGGTATTAGTTCATTAAAGAATAATTTCATATGCAATATTTTTGTTATTCTGGTACTGAAATAAATGTTACATATGTTAGTATCACCAGGTGAAATCACAGCCCCAGTGAAATCATTGATTTTTCTCTTTGACTGCAGTGGTGCCAGTGAACTTAGGAAATATTTTTTTTAATGTTTGAATTAGATGAAGTGTTTACCAAACAATTTTTTTCCTATACTCACTTGACAGTTTAAGGTTTGAGAAGGAAATAATTTACACAAATCCCGTTTTTCCTCCAAAGTTCTATCCATTAATGCAGAAACAATGATATCATTTGAAGTGGAAAATGACTTTTACTTTGACTTGCATTACATTTTGATGCATGTTCTCTAGAAAATATTTTTTCATTGTGTCAAAACAGCTTTTTTAATTCATCAGAATTTGGCTTTAGTAGACAGGAAGAATTGATTACTCACATCCTTTTTGTTAAACAGTCATTCAGGACATGATTTCACAGTGAGGTGTAATTGAAAATTATTGCCAAAGTTAAGTGTCCTTGAGACAGCAATTGTTTGGTTAATTTCCTTATGTTGTTCATTAAGCCCTTAACCTAGTCACCGGTAACTTCACGGAGCAAAAGAAGGTTCCAGTGATAATATTGTTCCTAAACAAAAACTACAGGTAAAGTCTAGAAAGACTTTGCTTTGAAAGAATAAATATATTTCTCTTTTAGCTTATCAAAAAAAACCCAACAAAAAACCCACTGAGCCTCTTTAAAAAAGGCTTTTTAATGGTAAAACTGTAAAGGTAGATTTAAGATGTTTGCATTTATTTCTCGTGAGTGCAGTGTGTACACATGTGCCCGGCAGTTCTTCATGTTGAGTTGGGGCAAAGTAGCCCCAGGCTGGCAGGTGGCGGGCGGGGGGGGTCACCCCAGACTCTGAGTGAAAGTGTCAGGGATGGCTAGGATACGAGGGTGCCACAGTGTAGGGCTAGCCAGCAGGTAACCCCTGCACTATAGCACCTTGTACCCCAGCCAGCCCCGATCACCATCTACATGTGTGTTGTGGTACACTTAATAACTCTCCTGTAGGGTAGTACTTGTCCTACTGGTACTATCCTATGATGGAGTTAATTAATTTACTGCACCCTAATATGGGTGCATGTGTAGATGGTGACATTTTCTACTGTGGAGCTAATTAGTCAATACTGCAGTAAAGTGCATGTGTGGAAACACCCAGTGTCAACCTCGTACATTCTATAGATGCAGAATGACTTACATAACAACTTGTGTAGTAAAGATTTGAGTTAATATTTATACAATATTTTGAACATATAAAACATCAAATGCTACATATTATTTTAGTATCTGTTCGAGAATCGTCCCACCAGGATAAGAGAAATCTACAGAATACACATTTTCCTTCAATTAGACTTATCATTAACTTGAAGAGTAGGATAGATCAACACTTTTTTGTTTGTTGAGGCATTAAAAAAATTAGTCACTGATAAAGCTGCCTGCTACCAAGAGACATTTAAATGCTTTTCAATTAAAGCAATTATAAAGGATATGCTTTTTTAAATTAATTTTTTAATAACTTTTGTCACATACCGTGTGTAAAGGGAGTGAAGTGTCAAGCTTTATCTTTCGTTTTGGATAATTAACTTGTTTAACTACAAACTAGTCATTTGATTTTGAGGCTTCTAACCAATGCTGGAATTCTGGAAAGTTTTTCCCGTCATAGTATGGGAACTTTTAATTTCCTTTAAGGAACCACAATTGAAGTGGGACTTTCACATTGAAATCAACTTGAAAAAATGTTGCAATTTTCTTTTCCAGTAGCTTCATAATTCCTTAGCCTTTCTCCCACTCATTTCATCTCCTTTTGATTTATCCCTCCATGAAATCATAATGATATACTCATTACAGTAGTGCCTTAACATGGAAATGACTACTATTATCCCACTGCAGCATCTGTAGGAAGAGAATGAGCTTTCAAGAAAACACTAAGGATAAGTACAGACAGTCAAAAAGTCCAAAGCTGAATCAATTCAATCTTTTAGGTTAGTCTAAGCTGCAAAGATTGAACCAAAAAGCAGGTGAACAGACATTCACTTTTGATACCACAAATGCAGCCACATGCCTGCAGTGGCCCAGGCAAGATGCCAGGGGATGCTAGAGCATACCTCCCTGCTCTGCTGGAGCAGACAGCTTAGGCCAAAGCTACGCTGCCCACCCTGCAAGGGGGGAGTGCAGAGATTTGTGGGGGAGGTTAAAAACACTCCTGGGATGCTGAGGAAATGTGAATTCACTTGAATCTGGAGGTGATCTGGGACAGAAATTCAATAAACTGATTTAACATAAATCAGCTAAGTCTGATATTACATCCCTCCAGGTTTATCTTAAGCCAGTTTTGGCCATTTTGAAAGCAGTTTACATGTACTGAGCTTCTGTTGTGTTGCAGGTTTTCAATCATTTATACTGGCTTATGTGTAATTTCTGCTCCTAGCCTAAGGCTACTGAGAGATGAGTGGGGAGGAAAGCAGCGCTTTACCAGAAGAGGAATCATGTCAGTTTGACCTGTCTCCCCAGTGTCTGTATAGCTCAGGTGCTTCAGCAGGGGTTTTTCGGTGCTTTTGTCTAGTACCTGATTCAGTCAACTAGATTAAATTAGATAAAAGCACCAAAAAGCCCCGCTGAAGCACCTGAGCTATACAGATGCTGGGCAAGTCGGGTCAAACTGATGCGATTTCTCTTCTGGGCATGCACTGCACTTGGTTCAGCGGCACACCGAGCTGAAAGTAAAATGCTGTTTTGTTTTGTTTTGTTTTGTTTTGTTTAGATATGATTTTTTCCATGTATGCAAGACCCTAACTGGTGATGCCTATTAGCACTCATAGGCCAAGCACTTAGAGCAGAGTCAGGATAGAAAGAGGCTATGAAATCCCATTTTACATATATCACTCTCTTACTTAGTTATGACTTGGGCATATATTGATATTTTAAGTGAGTTATTTACTTAAGAAAAATATGACTGACATTTGAAAGTTCCTTGCTAAAACAGTGTTCTCCAAGAACCTGCTGCAGTTCCCATTGAAGTCAATAAGAATCTTTTTATTGATTTTTTTGGTGGTCTTGGCATGAGGTCCTAGATCAGCAAATATTAATACCCTCTTAGGCTATGATACAGCTGTGGATTAACCTGTTTGTCTTGTAACTCTTGAATTATAATCTCATTGCTGCTTTATGGAATTGTAAAACTGTGCTTCATTGTGTTACGTGTCATGGCAGCTCTTTGGGGCTCAGAAGCATTTTTTTTAGAAATTCATTACTTACTTGTGCTTCAACATCTGTTAATTTGCGGGTCTGTTCAGCTGTTTGGTTTAATAGGTTTGTGCCTATTTCAATCATTACTGCAGTCTGGTTCTGCACTGCATTTTGCTGGATCTCTACCATTTCTTTCTTCATATTGTCTTGGATGTAATTCTCAAGCTACGTGGGGAAGGAAAGAGAGAAGATAGTTGCATTCCTTAAAAGTGTGTGTGGGGGGTGGGGGTTAAGAGTACAATCAGCATGCTGGAAAGCTTGCTAGATAAATCTGCTCTCAGGCTTTATCTATGATACTCTTTTTTTGAAGAAGAAGAAGAAGAATTTCCCAACATTGTTAACACCAGGTCAGCTCCACCAGCGGGAGCACAAACAAAGGCAAGGAACTTGTGGGTAACTGTTGTAACCCCTGTTCTGGACAGGCTTAGAAGAAACATTGGTTTAAATACTGGCAATCCTTTAGAACCTAGTCTACGCTAGCACTCCCACCATTGTTACCAGCAGAGGAGCTGTGCAAACAGTAGCAATGATGAGATTTGTTTTTCCTTAAGACAAAGGCCTAAGAGTTTAGTCACCTTCCTGTATCAGGACTTCAGAAATATTTTCAGCAGCTTTCTTTTACTCACACAATTAGAATTCAGAGAAGCTTGATATAATATATATATCAACCAAAGAGCTGTAACAGTAAAGGCAAACCACTTTCCTGACTCTAAACACCTCATTTGTAAAAGTGTAAAAGCAGCTGAAAAACATTTGGCTGCAAGGCTAAATGGAGTTTTTGCAAAGCTATAGATTTCTAATGTGCTATACCAACTATAGAAAAAAAATTGTTTTTTCAAATGTTGAGGAATGTAAAGTATAAAGGGATAAAATAATAATTTTAAAATGTCTTTGTTAAGATCTGAAAGCTATTGCACTCTTTTTGAAAATTATAAAATGAACAAATAGAAGTCAGCATCTCCAAACTGCCTTCCAAAATTTCAGGAACTCCTACAGTGTAGGCACAAATGTTGCTGTCTATGCAGCACCTTACTAAGTATCAGTATTTGTTCTGAGAGCTTAAATAAACATTCCCTCTTGCAGAAAAAAAATCTAGGAGAGAGCTGGGTGGCTTAACAAAACCTCCTGTGATCAAATATATTGCTTTCACAGATTGTCTTTGAGAATAGCATAATGAATGCCAGACCTACTGATAAAAATTGTTATGGTATAGTCATGCTGGTTAGGTGATTGATTTGATATATTTTTATGCCGCAGATATTATTCTGTAGCAGAAGACCTAACATGTTAGTTATATCAACAGCAATGGGCACTTGTTGGTATAACATTTCTCTGAGGTCTGGGATGGACATTGCATAAACAGGTTTGAGCCAAATCAGTTAAGTCTGATACTGCATTCAACCAGGTTTATCTCAAACCGTTTCAGCCATTTTTGAACTGGTTTAATTGCACTGAACATCTGTTCTGTTACAGGTTTAAACAAGTTTCTGATCACTTAAACCGGTTTATGTTTAATGTCTGTTCCTAACCTGAGGAACCAGAATAAACTGCATCAGCAAAAAGCAGCATTGAATAGTAAACCAGTAAACCTTTTGTGATTAGGTCTAGGTCAGAGTTTCCTAACCTAAAATTTGTTAAAAACAACAGATCTCACAATCCACACTGGCTTTTCTAAGGAGAAGTACCCTCTTTAGTCTGAAACAGAGAGACTGGAAATATATGTGGCTAGAGCAGGGATGAGGCCTCAATCTGTAAAAGCAGTACATTCAGAAAACTCCAGTTACCCTTAGGTAATTTTTTTACCTTTTGTGAAACTGACCTTATTGATCATGTACCTACAAACTAATGAACAGTGAATCTCTAACACAAGGAGGGCTGCAGAATAAATTAGTCTAATGCTGCTTTTTCAAAGTGAGAATCCAACCTGGTCTCTGTCGTAGAATAGTAATACAAGTAGATACCTTGCAGATACTACGTTTGGGAGCTTTTTCAAGGTAAGACTTCATGTTACAATAGCTTTGGAATCATCTAGGATTCAGAAGAAACATGCTATAACTTGATGCATATTTACAAACAGGATAATGGCTAATAATTACTAAGTACTGACAAAATAATTAGAAGTAAGCTACTTAAAATGCAAAACAGCAGACCATAATCACAAGACAGGAAATGAGGAAACAGGTTGATGTGTCTCTGGTATGAAAAGTTATCTAAAATGAAATATGTGTACCTCACTTAATTGTTTTAACTATCTAAAAGCTGGGCAGGTTGCTACTCAGCTTCAGGGAAATAAGAAAAAAGTCTTATGTTTTAATTCACTGTTACACTAGTCATCAACAGAGATCTGTCTTCTCATTGGCAAAACTACCACGTTACCATTTCTATTGGCATAGATATTTCCACCCGAAATACCGCCCCAGTGAGCAACACGTTTTTTTTTCGTGCCTCACAAAGAAATTGCTTTCAAAGAGTGCCAAATGAAATGATAGTCTGAATTAAGAACAGTGTACATACACAAACACATTTTTAAATAAACTCCAGAAGTGTTTTTTTATCATTTGGTTCAAGCCAACAGTTTTTCACCAGAGTGGTCAAAATTGCAACATAGCTTTTTTATTACTAAATTCCAGAATTTTCTTGTAGCTTGATGCACTACATTGCACTGAAGCAGAGACTTCAGCCCATCACTGGTATGTAATGTAGGGGTGTCAGACAGTCTGGATCCTGTCCATGGACCTGTGTCATCTGGCCCACAGGTCATAGTGGGACGAGGGATTACGATGTGAGACAAGCAAGGGCAGGTCTGCCACCTAAGTCAGGGACATGGAGTAACATGTACGTTGGTTACTCCATTGGGTAGGAGGGGGTGAGCAATAGCTGTATTAACCCCCATGTCTCCTGCCACTATTTGTTCAGATTTGACCTTTGAGAAGAATTGTGAGAAGCCCTGCAATCTGGATTCCCCCCACAAGGAGCCCCACAGTCTAGATCTGGCCTGCAAGGAGCATTATGGTCCAGATCTGGCCCAGGGGTTGGGGCAAGTCAGGGGTGAGTTTGACACCCCGATCTAATGGTTTCAATATAGGTTTTTATCCTCAGACTCTGTACCTGCTACATAGATAGATGTATTTATTGTATGGGTGAGTTATAAGGATTTAGGCACTAATGTTTACAAAGCATGGTAAAGACAAAGTACTTTACTTTTTATATGTCCCTTTGCACAATTAAGATCACACTTCATTCTACAGGATCAAGCTTTTGGTGTTTTTGGTGTAGCTGCTTCTCTGAGTTTATTGCTTCTATCTGTTCTTAGTTTTCAAAAACTTTTCTAGCGGAGAAGGATTGATTTTGATCAACTATATCACTCTCTCTCAGAAATGTGAAAGTGTCGATTACTTGATGTCATGTTCCTCTTTTGTATTGAGAATAAGATGTTTGCCTGAAATTTCTCTAGCAATTAACTTGAGATATTGAATGTTACAGTTTTAACAAGCAGTAAGTCAGCACCTGAGCATCTAATTTGAAGTAGATGCACTGCTAACAAAACCAGCAACGTCTAATTAAAAATAGCCACTGCTCTAGAGGACTGGAGACTAGCACAATTAATGTTATTTAAAAACAAAAATGTAGACATAATTTTTGTGCATGAACCACTTGTTGGATTTTAAATAAATTTATCAATCTGGATATAGGACCTGGGCCTTATAGACCTAAAGCAAAGACCTCTGCTCAGTATGCATCTGTGTTTGAAAAGAAAAACAAAGATACTTAGAATACATTAGGAAGGAGGTAATGCATATTGCAAAGCCTTTTACAATGATTCTGTGTATAGATCAATGGTGTGTGTAGTACAGGCCTCCTCAATTCAAAAAGGACATTGCAGAAATACAGGAAGTTCATAGGCAAACTATTAGACTGCTCAGAGACATTTTTTTTTTGCATGAAGAGAGGTAGAAAAGATGGTGATGATTTTAAGAAACAAAGAAAAAGAGCG